GATGTCCAAAGGTAGAGAGAGTCAAGGAAACTGGGGCCAGGGGCTCGGGGCATGTGTGGACGGGGCAAGGGGAGGCATGGGGCACACGAGGGTGTGTGTGGCAATTTATAATAGCCAGCCTTGGGCTCGCCTTAGTTGGGGCAGCATGCAACTCCTAGGTTCCTATTTTGATTCCCAGATGCTGAAACACTGTGCCAACTTTCCTCGGGCCCTGGAAGTCCTGCTTAATGCCTACCCATGTGTTCCATCCTGTGACCCCTGGGTGGAGGCGGTGCTCCCTGAAGTGTGGCAGGTATGTCCACTCCAGGGGCGAGCTTTTTCCTAGCGGGCTAGAGAGGCCACAGGGAAGATAGACCTGGGCACAAGAGGGTAGGCAGTGAACCCCCTGGTTTCAGGCCTCCGTTTACAGCAGCCCACAAAGATCTTTGATCTCCCTTACTGCCCAGCCCCTTGCTGAGGGACAACCATCCTTTTATCAGTCAGCTTTGACTTGGTGGGAAGTCCACCAGCATGTCTGGGATGGGAGTGGCCACAGACATGACTGAAATCCAGTCCCCAATACCATGGCAATGGGTCATCAAAATCAGGGGTATTGGAGCATCTGATCCTCCCTTCCTTCTGGTCTAGGAACATGAAGCCTTCTACAGCTCCGCCCTAAGCATGGAAAACCAGCCAAGACGGCTTCAGCACCTGGCCCGCCTGGCTGTTCGTACTCAGTTGGGTAGCAGCTGCCGGCAGGCTGCCACCAAACTCCCACTGCCCCCACTGCTCAGAGACTACCTGCTGCTCTGTGTGGAGGGGCAAATCCAGTGAGCTCGGAGCAGGCCACTTCCATCTGCTCCTATACCCAGGCCTGGAAAACCAACCAGTACCCCTTTCCTTTGCACTTAGCATGCCCTCCAGGGCCAGCTCGTCCCTCCACTGACATTGGAAGCCACCTGCTGATCTTCAGGCCTTCTCAGCCTGTCCCCAAAGAAACCTTTCACCCACCTACCACTCTCATGCATAAGTAGAGAGATGGCCTCTTCATCGACCCAAGCTACAAGCAACTGATCCCAGGTGCAGCGCCTCCCTCGCCACCCAGGTGCCTACTCAGCCCCCTTCATAGTGGCAGGCCCTTACTTGGACTTGATGGCGTATACCTCTAACCCCAGTACTCAGCAGGCTGAGGCAGTAGAATTGTGAGTTCAAAGCTAGCAAGATCTTTGGGGCGGGGGAACCCTGCTTCTTTGCCTTCTTTCTTTTCTCTTTTTTCTTTTTTTTCAGAGCTGAGGACTGAACCCAGGGCCTTGTGCTTGCTAGGCAAGCGCTCTACCACTGAGCTAAATCCCCAGCCCTCTTTGCCTTCTTTCTAGCCCAACTCTAGATAGAACTAAAAGGGCTATTGTGCTTGTTTTTTCCCTAGCGCTAGGCATGGACCCCGGGGCTCGGGGTACGTGCTAAGCAAGTGTCCCACCACAGAGTCAGACCCCAGCTCTTAATGAAACCCATGTCTCAAATGGATGCTAGAATAATCTTTTTGTGTGTGTGTGTGTGTGTTTTTTTTTTTTTTTTTTTTTTTTTTTGGTTTTTCAAGACAGGGTTTCTCTGTGTAGCTTTGCTCCTTTCCTGGAACTCACTCTGTAGCCCAGGCTGGCCTCGAACTCACAGAGATCCGCCTGCCTCTGCCTCCCGAGTGCCAGGGATTGAAGGCGTGTGCTCCCACCGCCTGGCGTTGTTTTTGTTTTTTGAGACAGGGTTTTATGTAACAGCCCTAGGTATCCTGGAACTCACTCTGTAAACCAGGCTGGCCTCGAACTCACAAAGATCTATCAGCCTCTGTCTCCTGAGTGCTGGGATTAAAGATGTGTGCCACCACCGCCTGGCCACCTGAGACATTTATGATGTGTTCTCCCTTACTCCCGTGTTGCGTGGTATCTTAATCGGCAGTCACTCTAGAATGGCTTCTGGGGCCCAGACAGCTAGAAAGCTATCCTTCCTTACTTCTTCTGGCCCTAGAGACGAAAAGGTGTGACCACTCACATTTAGGGGGAGGCTTTTCAAGGCAAACCAGTTTTATGAATGCAAATAAACAATTTGTGCACAGAACAAATGTATGGATATTGTTAGGTTTAAATGTGACTGAAGTTCCCATCATTCCATGTTTATTCTCCTCTCTGTGTTCTTCTGGGGCTTCTACCTTTTCTGCCTTGAACAGGTATTACTAGTGACATGAAAAAGGCTACAGACCACACACACACATACACGCATGGGAGCCTTGTGGTAACTATCCCAGGAGAGAATAGAGGGGCTGATTTGACCTTTTTTCTAGGGACACAGGGATCTCAATCACCAGATGGTATCAGACAGCAGAGTCACATCAGGAGCCCCGGGCCTGCTTCCTGGGGCCTCGGCCCTGGTTCAGCAGAGAAGGGACCACCTGTTTCTGGATGGAGGTTTTGCTTTAGTTCCACAGAGCCAAAGGTCTAAGACAGTGGTTCTCAACCTATGGGTTGAGACCCCTTTAGGGATCGAACGACCCTTTCATAGGGGTCATCTAAGACCATTGAAAAACAGATATTTATATTATGATTCATAACAGGAGCAAAATTACAGTTATGAAGTATCAAAGAAAATAATTTGGGGGGAGCTTGAGACAGGGTCTCTCTATATAGCTCTGGCTGTTCTGGAACTCCATTTGTAGACAAGGCTGGCCTTGAACTTACAGAGATCTGTCTCTGCCTCCCTAGTGCTGGGATTAAAGGTGTATACCACCACACCCAGCTTCGACAAAAATAATCTTATGGTTCTCACCACAACATGAGAAACTATTAAAAGGTTGCAGCATAAGGAAGTTTGAGAACCACTGGTTCTAAGAGAAGAAAAGGAAGACTTCCCAGTCCTTGGCCTGAGTTGGAACCTTGCTCCAGGGAATGATGCGAAGTTTCTGCCCCATTATAGCAGGCAGGCCCTAGCCAGTCTAATCTCTTCTATCATGCCTTAAACCACAAAATACCTATTTGTTGCTTTTGTTTTCTTAAAGATATCGTGGACTATATGTATTACTTTTGTGACAGGGGAAGATTTTCCAGTTACAAAAGAGAATGAAATATTAAAAGAACAGAGTTTAGGGGTGGCTTTACTTTGTTTTACATTGTGTGTGTGTGTGAATTCATCAGAGGACAACTTGCAAGAGCTGGTTTTCTCTATCCACTCAGCAGGAGCCTTGCTGAGTCATTCTGTTGGCCCTAGGTTGGTTTGTTTTAAATCTGTGTGTGTATGTGTGTGTGCGTGCACCACAAGATGGAGGATATCTGCAGAAGCCAGAAGACAGCACAGGATCCCCTGGAGCCAGTTACGGGTGGTTGTCAAAGTCAAACTCAGGTTCTTTGGAAGAGCAGCAACCACTGAGCCATCCTCCCAAATCCTAGGTTTGTTTAATAAATATTACACCATAAACAGGTAAAAGGAAAAAGATTAGAAAGTTATTTGCACTTATCCTAAGGGCTGGTAAGTAGGGAATGAGGCCTTGGTTTGATCCTCAGCACCCTCATTAAATATTAATAATAATAATAAAACCAGCAGGGCATGATGGTGTACACCTTTGATCCCAGCACTAGGGAGGCAGAGACAAACGGATCTCCCTTGATTTCTAGGCCAGTCTGGTCTACATAGCAACTAGGACAGCCAGGATTACATAGAGAGACCCTGACTCTAAACAAACAAACAAACAAACAAATAAAAAAGCCCGGCACAGCTGCATGCATGTCTGTGTAATGCCAGCACTGGAGAGGTTAAAGCGGGTGACTCTGGGGCTTGCCGACCAGCTAATGTAGCCTAATAGTGTAGCTCTAGATTCAATGAGAGATCTTGTCTCGGAAAGTAAGGTGGAGAAAGTGACTGAGAAAGACTCTTGAGGCCTCTATACATGTGTTCCTGCACACACACACACACACACACACACACACAGATGAAGTTTTCTTGCCAGCCAGCTTGGCAGAGTCGTGTGATTCTAGCTACTCCAAAGGCTAGAGATCCAGGACAGGCACCAAAACTACACAGAGAAACTCTGTCTCGAAAAAAAACCAAAATCTGATATTCAGGCTATCTGATATTCAATTCCTGTTAAAGGGTCGTTGGAACCCCAAGGGGTCGCGACGCACAGGTTGATAAGCACTGCTCTACGACACAGCGTTAACAGGGAAAAGCTAATCCAGGGTGATAGACTTGGAAAGATGGTTCAACTGTTATGAGCATCTGCTGTTCTTTCCAGATCTGAGTTCTCTTCCCAGCACCCAAAAAATGCGGTTTACAACCTCCTGCATCCCTAGCTCCAGGGATCCAGTGCCCTCTTCTGGCCTCTACAAGCAATCACACACATGGCATACACATACAAACACATAAATAAATAAAAGCAAACAAATAAACCATTTTTTAAAAGGGTACTATATCTGTGTCTCTCTGAAATGCCTTTCTGCTTTATTTATCAAAGCACCATTATTATGAGGCAGGAATCTTACAGTACTTAAGACTATAACGGGTCTTCTTGCCTGTCTCCTCGAGTAACAACTTTCTTAGAAGTAGAAATACCAGACCTTATGGATCCCAATATTGGAGCTCGGTGCGCACTGGAGCAATAATGAATCCCATTAGTTCCGGAGCTCGAGAGCGAAGCCGGAAGGAGTGATAGAGGGAAACCTAGCGCTGGGTCGACCAAAAGAGCCTGCCTGGGCACTCTTCTAGGCATGATACCACGCCCCCTCCACAAGCACCTCCCCCAGCCGCCCCTCCTCTTCTGGCCCCGCCTCTGACCTCTGGACGGCCTGGGACCACGCCCACTAGGCGTGGCCTTACTGCCTGCCAGAAGTCCGAAATCCCGCCAACAATGACTCCGCCCCTCCTGCCGCTGTGCAATCTGGCCCTTTTAAAGATTAGTTTACGTCAGTCCGCCTTACGTAGCTTTGCGTCATCAGTACAAGGCGAGGAGGCGGGACTTCCGGCCCCGATGTTAACAGCTTCCGAGAAAAGCCGGAAGAGATCGGACCCTGAACAGAATCTTGAGTTGCCAGCCCCTCCCCCGACCCTTACGGAAAGACGAGTGCAGAGACTGCCCTGGCGAAGTCAAAACATTTATCCTGGCTCTGTCAGGTGAGGCTCTCCTTCCCCATCCAGAAACAGTCCAATCCAAACCCCCTTTATTTTCCCATGACGCTCAGCGTCCTCAAGCCCCGCCCCCAGTCCCTCTGCCCCGCCCCGAAGTTTGAGGGGCGTGAATGGTTTGTGACACCCCCCCCATCTGACCCTAACCGTCACCGATCTGGAGAGCTGGGCTTGGGCACTGCGACCGTGACCCGGAAGCCCTTCGGCTGGAGGGCGGGGGCTCATGGACTCTACCGCCACGGGAATAGGATCTCTCAGGCGCAGAGCCTTCGCCTCAGAAAAAGCAGGGTCGGGGACGACTCCACACCGCGCGGTCAGGGTCGTCCACGGGCTGAGGAGAGCACTGAGGCCTTGGAGCAGGCAGACGCGGGGTCCTAACTGCCCACGGCAGTTCCTTGTGTCCTCGGTTCCCGTCTGTCTTTGCCACAGTTTCCTTTTCTGTGAATCACGGTTCCTGACATTAACCTTACCATCAGGGGTTAGTTGTGGGAGTGAAACATAATTGCTATCATTTGTTTATCGAACAGTCTTACTTATTTTGCTTCGATGATTTCACGTCATCTTCAAAACAACCTCATGAGGTAGGTACCATTTAAAACCCCACTTTATTGATGACAATGCTGAGGCTGTGAAAAAGCTGTTGGCAGTTACATGGCTAGAAGGGGGACTAGACTGCGATCTGTGTTTCCCTGACTCCAGGGCTAATCTGTTAAGTAAGGCTGTGGAAACTCTTTGAATGTCAGTATGTCCACAAATAGTCTTTGAGCAGCATTGTGGCATTGCAATGAGAGCTTCGTACAAAGAGAACTACGCTTGATTCTCCCGGAAGTCAATGAAGACATGGACAGGTTATAATGATGTTTTATGGGTGCTCTGAGAATAGTCTGATAATGATAATCACCAGGTGGATTTGCCCAGGGACAGGTGTGAAAGTAGATCCTCCAAGGAAAAGAAAAGGTACTCCAAGGAGTATGCAGAGATCTTCCATGCTTTTCTAAGAAACTGCAGAGAGGGAGAACCTTCACAGCACAAGACAGACTGAAATAAGGAATGTGGCAGCTGTTGGGAAATCTCTCCAAATAATTTATACTTGACAGTTTTTATTTTTTTGACTTGTTTGTTTAAGATACCTCACGTAGTCTGGTATTTGAATTTGCAATATAGTGGAGGCATGTCTTGAACCCTTGATCCTACCGCCTTCATTTCCCAAGTTCTGAATAACTGGAGTATATGCTGGGGCAGTGGTTTTACAGTTGTGAGCCAAGCCCCTGGTGACCCAAAGAGGGCAGTGTTTCTGGTATCTGCCCCATGTGGCTCCCCAGAACTTGCCAGAACAGTTTCGCAGGAGACAAAAGTGTCTGCTGATAGTTCCAATACACTCGTCCATTTGTAGTGATCTGATTCTGTCCTTGATAGATCAGAATGTATTTATTTATTTTGGCTCTTGACAGCTGTGCATGCATGGGTCTGTGGCCATGAATGAGACGTAACCAAATGAGAATCTGGCAGGGTTGGCTGCACAAAGCCTGTGAAGGAGTCTTCTCATTCTCTGAAGCTGTGGTTGAGGCTGCTTAGGGGGCATATGTGCTTGGTCACATGTTAGAAATCTTCGAGAAACTCCAGGCTTAAAGAAGCATATGTAACCAGGGGGGTAGTGGCGCATGCCATTTAATCAAAGCACTCGGGAGGCAGGGGCAGGTGGATCTCTTGAGTTTGAAGTTAGCCTGGTCTACAGAGTGGTAGTTCCAGGATAGCCAGGGTTACACAGAGATACCCTGTCTCGAAAGGAAGAAGCAAATGCTCTTTCTTCATTATCCTCCAAATATCAAATAAATAAATAAAAGCAACTAGCAGCTGGTGACAAGCTTATGAGACTTTTCTGGTGACCTGTGCTCCTATGGGAACAGAATCTGAAAGCTAGAGTTTCACAATAGAGGCCAAGGGTAAGTCCTTAGCTTGCGATTGAGGGTCTACTACAGTTGGGGAGGTTGGCTGCCTCTCCTACAAAACATCACAAACTCCTGTCTTTTGTTTGTTTGTTTGTTTTTCTCCAGCCTGACTCAGAACCTAAACAAACTAGAAACCTGGTTATAACCCCTCAGGCCATGCTGATGCTATCCCCTTTTGTTCCTGCAGTGTGGATCCGGTCAGCAGCCAGGCCATGGAGCTCTCTGATGTCACCCTCATTGAGGGTGTGGGTAATGAGGTGATGGTGGTGGCAGGTGTGGTGGTGCTGATTCTAGCCTTGGTTCTAGCCTGGCTCTCTACCTACGTAGCAGACAGCAGTAACAACCAGCTGCTGGGCACCATTGTGTCAGCGGGAGACACATCTGTTCTCCACCTGGGGCATGTGGACCAGCTGGTAAGCCAAGGCACTCCAGAGCCAACAGAACTCCCCCATCCATCAGAGGGGAATGATGAGAAGGCTGAAGAGACCAGTGACAGTGGTGGAGACTCCACTGGGGAGCCAGGAGCTAGGGGAGAGATGGAGCCCAGCCTTGAACATCTCCTGGATATCCAAGGCCTACCTAAAAGACAAGCAGGCCTGGAGAGCAGCCGTCCAGAAGCTCCACTGGGATTGGATAATAGCACAAGCCTCTCTCCCAGCCCCAGCCTCATCAATGTTCGGCTCAAGTTCCTCAATGACACTGAGGAGCTAGCTGTGGCCAGGCCAGAGGACACTGTGGGAACCCTGAAGAGGTGAGTAGGCTGGAAAGAGAGTAGTTGCTCATGACTTGTGCCTCAGGCATTGGTTTCCCTGAAAAAGTTGATGCAGATCTGAGAGCACTAGAGGAGTTTTAATGGCTGGCCTCTGTTAAAGGGAAATGGGAGACTCCCATAGACAGCCCATCAGTTTCTTCCATGTCCTGTTTTGTTGGTCCAGGCCTATATACCATCCTTCCTCATCCAGTCTTTCCTTTTATCCTTGTAGCAAATACTTCCCTGGACAAGAGAGCCAGATGAAGCTGATCTACCAGGGTCGGCTGCTGCAGGACCCAGCACGCACACTGAGTTCCCTGAACATTACCGACAACTGTGTGATTCACTGCCACCACTCACCTCCAGGGGCAGCTGTTTCTGGCCCCTCAGGCTCTTTGACCCCCTCAGCCACTGAACCATCCAGCCTTGGTATCAATGTGGGCAGCCTCATGGTGCCTGTGTTTGTGGTGCTCTTGGGCGTGGTCTGGTACTTCCGTATTAATTACCGCCAGTTCTTCACAGCACCTGCCACTGTTTCCTTGGTGGGAGTCACGGTCTTCTTCAGCTTCCTAGTATTTGGGATGTATGGACGATAAGGACATCTGGGAGACAATGAATGGCATGGTCTTCCTCCTTCATGGCCTCCCCCCTTTCCTGGCCAGAGCTGGGCCCAAGGACCTGGGAGGGAGGGATGGGAAGGATATGGTGGGTACCCTGTCCATAGGACCCAGGAAGCAGGTGTGTGTGTCCACAGGGTACAGATATCTCTGCAAGCACAACTCAGGTAGAAACAAGGATATCATCTTCCCTCTTTTGGAATCCCAAAGTTCAAAATGTCAAGCTCAGTGAGAAGCTTGGGCTCTGGGTCTTCCCTCCTGGCTGTGGCCCTAGGCCTTTTCCGTTTCTTGCATGTCTGCGCCCTACCCCCAGGGTTGCTGCCAGGGCAGCTCAGCATGGCCTTAGCATTTCTCTGCAGGGAGCTTGAAGTACCACTTCCACGCCTTAGATGAGGGTGATCTTTTGAAACGAAATTCACAGGCAGGGATGAAGACTGTACTAGCTTTCCCTATAGGTACCCAGCTGCCACCACCTCCTCCCTCCACCCCTTGTAGCAGGAATAGGATATTTTGCTTTCTTTCAAAGCACTTTTTTTCCCCCTCCTAAATAGCCGGCATAAAGCTCAGTTAGGCAGGGGATTGGGGCAGAAGGCCAAGCCCCCAGCATCAAGAGGCCAGGTCACAGCTGCTGCTAGCCTAGGCCTAAGGCTGTGAGGGAACACTGGCCCTAATCCAGTGTCCTGCCCAGTTCCAAGGACGAGCTCTGGGTATAGATTGCCCTGCCCTAGGCCCTCAGTTGGTGGGTCAGTATGAGCAAATAAAATTGCATTTTGTGGCTGTGGAGCCTCTTTTGTGACTGCTCTACCCTCAACAACATGGTAAAGAGGGTGGGTAGGCCAGGCTACCAACGGGAGATGCAGTTTATTTACACCAGCAGCCATGGGGGCAGAGGGAATACACAGCGTTTACAAAGTTAGCTACCTGTACAGGATGGATTACATATGCAAAAATAAAAATCTCAAGACCACAGGACAGCGTGAGCCCCACCCCCCCTCCCCCAATGACCCCAGCATGCGGTAATGCCAGGCGGGTGGCCCCTGGGCATGCGGGGGGGAGTGATGCATGGAAGGAAAAGCCACCGGCCATGGAAATTAGTACAGAACCCCCCACACACTCAGACACATGATAGGGTACAGGGAGGACGACACCTAGCCAGGGTGGGGGATGGGAATTGAAACCCACACAGCCTGCTGTTAGAGGGAGTGGGGAGTTCCTGGCCCCGTTCAACTACACGGTAGGGGGGCATACTCCCCAGAAGGAAGGGGTTTGTTCCCTCAGGGTCCCTGCTGGACCAAGCCCATCTCTTACCCAGCCTGGGCAGGGGGCTCTGCCCTGAGGGTGAGCCAAGGAACAATAGGGAAGTGTTTTGTGGACAAACCAGTTCCCGAACTACCCCCTCCAACCAGAGGAGAAGGGAGAGGTGGGAGAGCAGAGTGAGTTGGCCTGAGCTGCAGCTACTTCGCCTGGGCCGGCGTCCCGACCTTCAGCAGGCTCCCAAGCCTGTGCTTGGAGGCAGCTGAAGAACCTGCTCTGCCCCTCTAGTTTCCCCTCAAGGGAGAAGGCTGTAGAGGGCCAAGGACGGAGGAGCCCAGGCTCCAGAATTTATTCTAACTCCTGCCAAAATTGGTTTGACTTTTTAAAAAATAATCACAATGCTTGGGTTAAAAATCAATTTGTAACCAGGCATCAGCCACAATCAGAACCACCCCAGGGGGAGACTGGGGTTCCAGACAGGGTACTGCAACCCTAACTCTGTTGTTCCCTTAACCCTCTAGGGTCCCTAACCCAAATCAGTCCAACCAGTCCTGGGTACTAGCTACCCAGTGTGGGAGTGGCTCCTCCTGGGAACAGAGGGGACATGTATAGCAAGTGCCAGAAAACTTGGCTCAGGGTCAACCCCCTTCCTGTCAGTCAGCTGTACTCCAGCCCATGTCCAGGTCCTCCAGCTCAGTTCCAAGGCATACCACCTACTTGGCAGGTGGGACAGTACATCTCTTCAGGATGTAAGCCAGGTAGGTGGGTGCCCTGGCATGACAGTCCCACAGAGGGGCAACCGCACCCAGCCAACCTCCACTGACAACCAAGGGCAGAGACTACCTTCTCATCCCACCCTACTCCTAGCAAAGGGAGAGAGGCACAAGATTAGGGTTTTCCTCAGAGCCCCAAACCACAAGTACAGAATAAATAACTTAAAAGCGGCAAGGGAGGGAACGGGGCAGGCTTTAGAGGCGGGAGCGCTGAGAGGAACCAAAGCTGGTCAAGGGGAAGGGGCGGCAAGCAGCAGCTGGGAACTCAGGCTGCCCCAGCAGGGCAGGGCTGGGGGGCAGGATGGGGGGGGAGAACAGGGGGCCACCCCAGGAGGGTGAGGCTGGGCCCCTTCCTGGGGCAGGGAATGAGGTAAGAAACATTTCAAATAAAGCAGCACCGTCCCTCTCACCTGGGCTGTCCTCACAGCCCTGGGGCAGGGAGGGCAGGGGGCCACTCTGATACAGGCCCCCTCTTCCTACCCTCCCCTTCCCATTCCTTGAAGCTGTAGAGGCTGGAGGCCCTTTCCTGGCACCCAACAACAAAAGGACAGCTCCTGCTGCCAAGGAGGCCCATGGGGACTGAGGGAAGGGCTGCCCCGTGAGGCAGTTCTGGATGCCCACCTCAGCAGACAGCACTCTGCCTGCTGCCCCCGGGGACTGGGGACATCTGATAGGACTCTGCACACAGACAGGACACACCAGCCCTGCCCCTCAGCTCCAAGCACCGGACCCATTCACATTGCTGAGGGCAGCCAAGGGAGGCCCCCTCTGGGCTCAGCTTCCAAACCAAAGCTGCCTGGGTAGCCACAATGCCCCTCGGCAGGACTCAGTCCAGTTCCTGGGGTGGGGAGCAGGCAGCGCCCTGGCACAGTGCCCAGGTCAGGCCCCCAGCCTAGCTGGACATCCAGTAACTCACAGAATAAATAGGAAAACCACCTCCCCACCAAACTTATGTCCAAGGCATAATATGTCCAGGTCTGAGTCCTGCACGCCGAGGGTCATGCTTCGTTGCAGAGGACCCTGACACCCCCCAGGGGCACATAACTGGATCCTCTGCCTGCCTGGCCCACCAAGCTTCCCAAGCCCAAACCCCCAGCAGCTGTCCGTATGCCAGGCTATGCCGCCTGGGTGGGGGTCGGGAGAGAGGGCTCTCTCAGCCAAAGGCTATCCCTTGCACCCAAGTCAGTTGACGTCATCATAGATGCTGGGCGTCGGGGGAGCCGGTGGCTTTGGCTTTTTCTTCTTGTTGGAGCCCAGGCCGGAGGCAGTCCCTACCAAGCTCAGATGGGATTTCTTTTTCTTGGTTTTCCGTGATTCAGAGCTGTTGGTACCTGCAGAGGCGGAGGCAGAGGGATTAGAGTGGAGTTGTGAAGGGAGGCAGTGCCCCAGTGCCCAAAGCCCCTGAGATCAATTGGCACTGTATTACCTAGACCCCATCCTTGATTTTCACTAGTCTTGGAGGAGCCTGAATCAGAAGGTGAGAGATCAGAAGAGCCGTCCCACTGAAGCCTGCTGATGAGGGCCTGGCTGTCAGTCATGTCAAAGCTGTCATTATCCAAGGAGCTCTCGACCTCCGGAAGGACGCTGGCAAGGGGAGTCAATGAAACGTGAGGGAAAGAGATCACCAACCTGACCCACTACCCTTCAGGAAAGGTCACTTACGCTGGGGGCCCAAGGAAATAAATCCGTACGGTTCGCCTCTGTTCATCCGTGTGCTGAGGGCAGCGTAGTGACCTGGTGGGGACAGAATGATCAGACCCTGACAAGGCAGGGAAGGACTTCAGGAACTCAGGTGGAGCAGAAGCTGGAGGGACAGGGAAAGAGTCAGTGGTGAATCCCCAGATGGTGGCCTAATAAGTAAGGCCTAGCAGATGAAGGGAGGGTTAAGAATGGGGGCCCATTGCTCAATTCCAGGGGTCCTCCCGACCCATGCCTATGGGATCAGCTCCCATTTAGTATCTGTGCTCACCTTGTGCACATCTTCTTGGTATGTTCAGAAATCACTCCACATTGCTGGAAGAGGAGCATAAGCTGAAAGGAGGCCAGGGGGCCTACTCGGAATACTAGCTGCTCCCTCCGCACCAATGCCGGACTAACTGCCCAAGCAGAAAGCAGCCCCAGAGCAGTGGGACAGGAAGCCTACTGCTGCCATGGCACCTGTCCCTCCAGGGTCCTGACTCTCAGTCACTGCCCAGCCCAAGCCAACCCTCCCTCTCTCCAATCACACACCGTGGTGAGCAGGCTCCGCAGCTCTTCCGGCCCAAGGGTCTCATAGCTGATCCCAGTTGAGTTGCTATACTGTGAGAGAACCAGAGGTACGGGTCAGAGAAGGAAAAAGAAGGGCAGACAGGAAAGGGTGGGAATGGAGACTCGGTCCCTCTCTCTCATCCCTGCCGCCATGCTGTTTTCTAGAGTCTTCCCAACCTACCTGCATATGGACAGGAGACGGGACCCACCAAGAACACCAACACCCAAGGCTCAGAGAGCCTTACATCCACTGCTAGCTGTCAGCAACCTGAGCTCACTTGTCCAAATCCCAGCCACCTCAAAGGGCAATGAGGAGAGGCAGAAAGGGAGCTTCTACTCACCTTAAACGGATCGGAGTTGCTAAGTTCCCCTGAAGAAGAAAAAAGAAGGGGAAGGGTGTTTGATGCAGAGGTACAGACAGAGAACCCTGAAAATAACCAGAGAGGAAGTGGGGTGATAGAAGGCTCACAGGCCCTCCCTCCCACCCCCTACAAGTCCTGTGATCACCCCGCTGACAGTGCCCCTGTTGGTCTAGCCCCACTTACCATTTTTGTGTTTTAAAGACTTGGATCTTCGAGGGGAATTAGGGTTCTGGAATGGGAGATACCATAGCTTTGGGGGAAGGGCAGCGATAAGGGGGGGCCGAGAACCCAGGGAAGGAAAAAAGATTTGACAAAGAAACAACCTCAAACTCATACTACTCCTCCCCGGGATGAGGCCTGCTGCCTACATTCCCTCCCTCCCTTCCACCAGAGGGAGCTTCCCTGCCCACCAGTCACCCCAAAGAGCCCCCTCCTCCCACAGCAACACCACAGTTGAGTAAAAAGACCTGAGCACTCCCTGCCCAAAAGGGAGGGAGGGCATCTGTCCTTCACCCAAACTTCCCCCATGCTCGCGCGGCTCTCACCTTGTCTGATTTTCTCTTCTTGGCTGGGGGACGAGAGAACAAAGAACATAGTTACTTTTGAGTTCTCGGTCTCAGCATTTATATGTTGTTCAAAACTACGTTTTCAGGGTTGGGGACTTAGCTCAGTGGTAGAGCGCTTCCCTAGCAAGCGCAAGGCCCTGGGTTCGATCCTCAGCTCTAAAAAAAACCCCTACATTTTCCCGTCATCAAGACAGTTTACAGCAAATGTATGCTCTAACCCCCGCTTTCCCACTTCACCCCAGTTTCTCCCAGAATCCCAAACACCTTTCTTCTCTGAGCCATAGGACCAGTCATTGTCATTGATGTCATCATTGTCTTCTTGGTCACTCTCAGACTTGTTCATATTGTTGCTATTGGCAATCCTGCCCAGAGTTGAGAAGAGAAAGGGTCAAGGTTATCACACATCTGCACATTATTTTGCACATTATTTTACAGCGATACATGTGAGGGCCAAGTGTCCTCCACACCCTACCACCCGCCCCCATGGGACTACAGACTGCACAAGATGTGTGTCAGTGGTGCAGACAGTGAGAGGTTCTCACCGACGGTTGGCGATTCGGCTGCTGTTCCGACCC